AATTCTAGCAATGTGTATCAAGATCTTGACTGCTAACCGCATAGTCAACAATTCAGACCAGCCAGCCACTCCACTGGTAGAGAAAAGATGTGGCTGTTCGCTTCAGTAAAGCTTTGCCGTCTTTGAAACCTTAGATCGGGTTAGGGTGCTGTGAGTCAGTGGGTTTGGTTTGGCCTATCCAAGGGAAGATACTAGGTAGACCGTTGGTTGGAGAGGTCTAGAACTGGGAGAGTGGTCTGGGCCAGAGATATAATTCTGTGACTCAAGACATACAGATGATAATTAAGGCTTGGGTGTGGACAGATTGTGAAAGGTGAGAGTGTGGAGTGGAAAAAGGGTTTTGAGATGAAGCTGTGAGGAACCCAAATGTCCATGGGTCAGAGAGAAAAGGATGAGCCAACAAAGGGGACCCAAGAAGCAACCTGAGAAAAGTATGACTGCATTTAAGCCACTGCAGGCCTTTGCTGACCTCATCAAGGTTGTTGCAGGAAAATGAAAGGGTAGAAGCCAGGTGAAGGAACTGAGTGAGTGGAAGGGGAGGAAGTAGGAACACTGATTATAGACCTTGAGGGAACCAACATGTGACGGAGACAGAAAGGTAAGGGATGGGTTTGCCATGCCCTTGATGCTGTGAAGCAAAGGAGGAGCAGCCTTGGTGCCCTCCGGAAAGGCGGGGAGGGTTTCGCAAAGGAGGTAGTGTTTTGCTGAGAGACCCATCACGCACAGAGTGAATGATGACAATAAATTGGTCATGCAGAGAAGAGAGGACTTTATGTGCAAAGGCAGTGCACGTGCAATGGCTTTAATATGAGCATGTGCATATTGTTTAGGGATTACAGCAAGTCCCCTTGACACACATTGCCTAGAGAGCAGTGGCAGGAGATTAATTTTGGAAATGCACCAGGAGATAGATCATAAAATATTCTGGGTGTTGGAGCGAAGTACCGTATATACTCCAGTATACATCAACCCGAATATCAGCCGAGGTACCTAATTTTACCACAAAAACTGCATTAAAAATGTGCTGGAAATCTTGGCTTATACACGAGCATATATATTTTTAATTTTACCATTACCAATGCCTGTCAGTTTAGCTGTGGAAATGTTCTCAGTTGTAGAAGACAGTTAATGAGAAGCAAATACAAACTTTTCATTCAAGTTTCTTATGAAAAATATCTAATGAAATTTGCATTCTGGTTTAGAATCATCTACATGAATTTTTATAAAGAAGTACCTTATTTCCAGTTGGATAAAATTGACTCCAGGAATATAGACCTTATTGATTATATGGCTTTGAGTAGCTCTTGTACACCACCTAATATAACGTCTTCCAAACACCCCACCCCCCACCCCACTTGAGTGTGTCTATCGGTGGTGAGCAGCCAACGGAGAATATCAAAGTCCTATTTCTGTTATGTGGAATTTATCCTATTGTACAATGGAGGATGGGTTCAAGGTGGAGAGAACTAGAGATGGGAGGCTGCCAAAGTGGTCTGGATAAGAAACAGTGCAAACGTCAACTGTAAGCAAGAGAGAGGAGGGACTAATGAGATGTGGATTGATGGTGATATCCTTAGATGTGGGGAAACAGTGAAAATGAGGGATACAGCAGTTTAAAATGATTCCCCAGCAATTACTTGGGAAAATAGGAGAGAGGAATCTATTTGGTGGGGTTAGGAGAAAGAGTACCTACCAGAAGTGCTTGTTGAGTTGAAGTTCTGTACATGGGGGGAGTTGAGAGTGTGTTGCTCTCGGTCAAGTGAAACAAGAGGATGTTAATTGGATATAGGAATCTAGAGAGTGGCTTAGGGTGGAAGTTTCAGCAGCATGTAAGTGGCGTTGGAAGCTTTGGGAGGGAGATCAAATTGTTCAAATATAGAATGCAGAGTCTTAAAAGAAGAGGCAATTCTTCTCCTGAGTATATTTCCTGGGTAATACTGTTTAAAAGGAGAACTGGATCCTAAAGGTTTCCTCCCCGCTCCCACTACCATGACTCAAATTCTATCTTACAAGACTGGCTAGACCAGAGGAGGTACACTGGTACAGATAGGAACTGAAAATACAGGGAATCCAGGATGGATGAGCCCTATAGGACCAGTGGTGTGAGTGGCAAAACAGGGAGGGTAAAGGGAGAATGGGTAGGAAAGAGGGAACCGATTACATGGAACTGTGTGTGACCTCCTCCCTGGGGGACAGACAACCGAAAAGTGGATGAAGGGAGAAGTCGGACAGGGCAAGATATGACAAAATACCCATTTATAAACTATCAAGGGCTCATGTGGGAGGGGGGAGCGGGGAGGGAGGGGAAAAATGAGGACCTAATGTCGGGGGTTTAAATGGAGAGAAAATGTTTTGAGAAATGATGTACAAATACGCTTTACACAATTGATGTGTGTATGGATTGGGATAACAGTTGTATGAGCCCCTAATAAAATGTTTAAAAAAAAAAAAGAATGAAAAGAAAAAAAATAAATAAAAGGAGAACTGGAGGGAAAAATAACATCTGAGAAAATAACGAAGAGTCCAAAGAGGAAAGAAACACAGGGAAGAAGTTCAAGACTACAATGATTAACAGTTCCAAGAAGTGCTAAAAAAAAAAAAAAAAAAAACCAATATATTTATAATAGTGCCTGAAAGACATCCATTTGAATTTGTACATCACTGGCAGGGTTGAACTACCCAATAAGCAAAATAAGGACAGGTTCACTTATTACTAATCTGTACTGAACAATTTCACATTTATCATATCTCCAGTGATTCTGCTATCTAGATATGTCTGGCAACTGCTACTCCCAACCCCACAGCACTTTTCTACATAATCAGAGCCACTTCAAATTCACAATTCCTGACAGGAACAGAGGACCCAGTAAGCAAGTACAATTAAATACAGCCTTGCTTCGCTATACTTACTAATGCATAGTGAACACTTACACATGATTTTCTTGCATCAGTGTGAACCCCATATGAAATTGTTCACTACAGGTAAGTTAGCATAAGCAAGCCGGACATACGGGTTAATGTTGGACTTGTGGGCTTGGGCAGCACTAGGTTGGGATGTTTTCTTGATGTGCACTTAACCTTCATATAAAACTCTCTCTTTTTTTAAAATTATTTTATTGGGGGCTCATACAATTCTTATCACAATCCATACATACATCCATTGTGTCAAGCATATATGTACATTTGTTGCCCTCATCATTCTCAAAACATATGCCTTCTACTTTAGCCCTTAGTATCAGTTGCTCATTTTCTCCCTCCCTCCCCACTCCCCCTTCCCTCATGAACCCTTCATAATTCATAAATTATTATAGTTTTGTCATAAGTTACACTGTCCAATGTCTCCCTCTGCCCTCTTTGCTGTCCATCCCCCAGGGAGGAGGCAATACTTAGATTCTTGTAATCAGTATTTTACTGATTACAGTATTCTACTCCACATTCCCTTCACCCTCCAGGCATCGCCCCTCTCACCACTGGTCCTGAAGGAGTCATCTGTCCTGGATTCCCACTGTTTCCAGTTGCTATCTGTACCAATGTACATCCTCTGGTCTAGCCAGATTTGTAAGGTAGAACTGGGATCATGATAGTGGGGGGGAGGAAGCATTTAAGAACAAGAGGAAAGTTATATGTTTCATCGTTGCTACCCTGCACCCTGATTGGCTTGTCTCCTCCCCACAGCCCTTCAGTAAGGGGGTGTTCAGTTGCCTACCGATGGACTTTGAGTCTCCACTCTGCACTCACCCACCTTTACAATTGGTGAAGAAAGCTAATGGTGCCCGGCTACCATAAGATACAGCATCTGGGGTCTTAAAGGCTTGAAGACAAACAAGTGGCCATCTAGCTGAGAAGCATCAAAGCCCACCAGCCTGTGTGACCACAAGGTGTAGAAGGGATCAGTTATCAGACATCAAAGAACTGAATATCATATCAGTGGGCGCCCGCTTTACTGACACAATCACTGAAGACAAACGTGTACATAAGCAAATGTGGTGAAGAGAGCTAATGGTGCCCGGCTATCAAAAGATATAGCATCTGGGGTCTTAAAGGCTTGAAGATAAACAAGTGGCCAACTAGCTCAGAAGCATCAAAGCCCACATGGAAGAAGCACACCAGCCTGTCTGACCACGAGGTGCAGAAGGGACCAGTTATCAGACATCAAAGAGCTAAAAATCAGATCAGTGGGTGCCCACCTTCCTGATACGATCACTGAAGAAAAATGTGTGCATAAGCAAAGATGGTGAAGAAAGTTGATAGTGCCCAGCTATCAAAAGATATAGCGTCTGGGGTCTTAAAGGCTTGAAGATAAACAAGTGGCCAACTAGCTCAGAAGCAACAAAGCCCACATGGAAGAAGCACACCAGTATGTGTGACCACGAGCTGTCAAAGGGATCAGGTATCATGCATCAAAGAACAAAAAACTCTCTTACACATGAGTTTCTGTGGATTTGTTTCTCTACCCAGACTAAAACAGCCATCCTCCAGGTCATTGATTATTGACAGTTGTTGGTGTCCTTAAAGAGGGCAAACTCTCTAGAGGCTCAAAACCCAGGGTTAGGTCGATTGAGAAATTAAAGCGGATGTAGATGCCACACTCTCAAGATGCTGCACTGGGAGAGAATGTCAGGGAGTGAACTCTGCTGGGGAGAGATGTGGTTAAAAGTGGTCTGATCTGGTTTTTACGTTAGGGCCACAAATGCACGTGGGTTTGTATATATACATACATGAGTATGTGTGTGTATACACATATATATGTACATATATATTTCAATTATATATTTATATGCTGAGAGAGACCAGAAATGTAGAAGAAGCAAATGAAAATATGAGCGTGTAAGACTTAACTTACACAGAGTAATTATACTGTAAAAACATTTGTTGGGTAAATGACACAGTGTTAAATTCCTGTGTAGATTGTGTGGGTGAAATTTGTTTTAGGGCTTACGTACTTTGGTATACATCATCATAATTTTCATGAAAAATTTTGGGGTTGGTTTTTTTTTCAGCCTCAGAATATTTTACTGACAAGTGAGTCTCCATTGGGTGACATCAAGATCGTCGATTTTGGCCTTTCAAGAATAATGAAGAACAATGAAGAGCTCAGAGAAATTATGGGAACTCCTGAGTATGTGGGTGAGTATCATCAGACTGTAATGGTTTTGTTTTTTAATGAGGAATTACCTCCCAATTAGGTATACTCTCATGTGTTATGATTAATGGTGATGCCAGAAATATGACTCGGGCTGAAATTCTGCTTTTAGAGATTCAGTCCTTTGGATTAAGTTTTTTTTTTAAAAAGGAAAATGTCCAAGAATATGAGGTGTCAGGTTGCTGATCTCTTACAGCTAAAGAAATTTGAAGGAATTACTTCTACAAGAATTAAGAGAGGATATTCTCTTTAAAGTAAAGCAGCATTAGGTATCTGAGACCTCTAAAGAAGTTCAAGTTGGTAATCAGCATTGTTCAAGGCATTGTGCAAGCAGAGTCATTCCACAAGTGTGTGGAGAGCATTCTGTTGGATTGATGCAAAGTAGAGCTCTCTGGTCAAAAGTGGATAAAGTAATAGAGTATGAGTTCTCTGGAGTACGTAGAAGTAATGACTATGGCTTTTTTTATCAACTCGGGGGTAAGGGGCACTGTGTGGAATTTGAAAGATAAATGGTTTAAATGAGGTAAAAAAGCATATGTAGTAGAGCAAGCTGGCAGAACAATTTAGAGATCGTGACCGGTGAGTTGAATATTAATATTTAAAATTTCAGAGGTGAAATAGTTCTTACTAATAAGGAGGCCTTGGATGCAGCTACAGAAGGGCATCTGTTAAGCCAAGAGATGAGGACACGTGATGTCTGCTCTGTGAGTTTGGGTGGATGGTGAGGGTTCCCTGTTACTGTCAGGCCTTGGAGTGCAGGAGGATGGTTGTGTCAGTGAATGACAGCACCATGACATGCAGTGAAGAAGAGTGTGGTCTCAGCCTTAAGCAGTGGTTCTCAACCTTCCTAATGTCACGACCCTTTAATACAGTTGCTCACGTTGTGGGGACCCCATATGTGGGCGGACCTGCCAGGAGACGGATAGAGGAGCAGTGTCTCAGTTCCTAAGACCTTCAGAAATATGGTCTTAGGCAACCCCTGTGAAAGACCCCCAGGTTGAGAACCGCTGCCCTAAAGGGAAGGATTTTTGCTGGTGGGTAAAGGTGTGAAGTAGGTGGTGGACCAACCGTCCTTACTACAGAAGCCTCAGAGCACGGTGACCCTTGGAGGAAGCCAGGTCTCACAGCCCAGAAGGTCAAAGGAGTTGTATGTGAAGACTAAAGAAAACAATCAAACCATTGCTGTTGAATCCGTTTCCACGCATACTGACCATGTAGGACATTAGGGATTTATTTGCATAGGAAGGAGGTTTCTAGGGGACACCGAAGAAGAGAAGAGGACAAGTAGGGCTTTAGGTAAACAGGAAGCTGCATGGCCATGAGGGTACACAAAAGCGTTCACAATTTAAACATAAACAGAACCTTACTAATTAGGTAATACGTGATGTTACGAGCAGGAGAACAACCCACAATAGTTTCCTGTGCTTTTTTTATGGACTAGAATGTGTAATTTTCAATCTGATAACTGATCCACATTATGACCACTAAGTAGTTTTTAGGAATTGCCTTGATATTGTCGTCATTGTTTCCTTAATTGACTAAGACTATGAGGATTTTCGTTATTATCTTTGACCCAAATTTGTGTAGGAAAGCATTTTAAAGTGTGTAAGATTTTGAGCATTTGTTTTTATTTCTAATTTAGTGCATGTGTTAGCGCTTATTCTATTTCGTAACTATCAGGGATTTTCTGTGGGGGGGTGTGTGTCAGTATATTAATGTTTAATGATTTTTTTAGAAGTACAGAGAATATTTCCAGTTTTCAGAGTTTCAGTTTTCGGATGTCATTTAGCCTTATTGTATTATTTAGATTCTTTATATTAGCTCTGTCTACTTAACCATTTGAGTTGAGGAGTGTGTTAAATGGGGTTCTCTAGAGAAACAAAACAAGGACACTTGTAATTTTAGATAGATAGATGGATATATACAACATAAGAAATGAACATTTAATTGGTCCACAGAGCAGCACTTCAACTCAAATCCATGAGACAGTTAATACACTGGCAGTCCTTCAACTCACGAGGGCTGCTAGGTGCAAGTCAAGGAAGCAGACAGCTGAATCTTCTCTAAAGCAATATAGGCAGTGCAGCCACAGGCAGCAAACAGCAGGGCAGGTCACCAACAGTCAGCCAGATGACAGGGTCCGACAGTCCCCAGCTCAAATGATGTCTACACCAGCTGTGTGGCGAAGCTGGTCTTGCAGAAATCTCAAACTATAGTGCCACAGTCCACAGGTTGGGTGTCCCACAGGTAGGGTAGCTCTCAAGTTGAGGCAGAGAACTAGCTAAGGTCCAATCATCAGAGAGCAAGAGACAGAAAAGCGAGGCTCGTCAAGTCATTTATCTCTTTGCCCTTCAATTAAACTGCAACTTTATTAATCCTACATGTGTTTATTGGCCAGGTTGGCACAATAATACTACCTATCACAAGGAGAATTATTTGAAAAGTCCCCTATTTTTGTTACCTTCTTAAAAAGAGAATTTTGTTTAATACATTTTAATGCTGTTTAACTAAGTACTTCATTATAAGCTAATATTTGTATATTTAATACTTTTTACCTTGAAATGTATTTGCTTGACTGTTAGAAGACTGTTCTACTCTGCTCCTCCCTCTCTCTCTCTCTCTCTCTCTCTCTCTCATTCATCTGGCTTTGACTTTAGTTGGGGCTTTTTTTCCCTCTCTTAATCAAACTTCAAGTTACTGTCTTTAAGTACATGAGTTAATGGCCCCCACATTCGTTTTATTTATATACACATAAAAGAGAGCTTCAAAAAGTTTATGGAAAAATTAAATTAAAAGACAATGGAATTTTTTCTATGAATTTTTTGGAGCCCCTTCCTGGGTGTAGACACACGGTTGCCCGGGTGTGAGTTCTGGCCCCATACTGACCAGTGACCTATTTTTCTCTTTACGCTTCAGTTTTCTCTGTCCATAAAATGGGCTAAGAGTAGTACCTACCACATAGGGAACATGGATTTAGTATATAAAGCTCTTAAAATAATATTATTTTCTCTTCCCTTTCCCTTACCAATCTTTTGCTCTGTGCTCTCCATTTTACTTTTTCCAGTAAATTTGGAAAATTCATTTCATTTTTTAATTTCTTGACTTTTTTAAACCTTTTAAGTTCTATTAAGAGCCTCTATTTCTCAACAATTACAGAAATCAAAGATGAGGAAAATAGCATGTTTCTTCCCAACTTCCTTCTTTGTCATATCCAATGGAATTTTGTGAAAACCATTAAGAGATGTGGATTTAGGGTATTTCAGATTTTTCCTAGAATCAGAATACTTTCATTCTGTTTTTAAATTGTACTAGCCACAATTTTTTAGTCTGGATCTGTTTCTAATTTTTAAAATCATTTTATTGGGGCCTCATACAGCTCTTATCACAATATATACATGCAGCCATTGTGTCAAGCACATTTGTACGTTTGTTGCCATCATCTTTTTCAAAACATTTTCTTTCTACTTGAGTCCTTGGTATCAGCTCCTCATTGTTTTCCCTCCCTCCCTCATGAACCCTTGATAATTTATAAATTATTATTGTTTCATGCCTTACACGGACCCATGTCTCCCTTTACCCACTTCTCTGTTGTCCATCCTCCAGGTTCCCCCTTCCTCCCTCCCCCACCTTCCCCTTACCCTCAGGATCTGTTTCTAAATGTATTAGCACGAACCAACCCTAGCTTTTCTATTTGTGTACTTGAAGGGGCAGAAAAACAAATATTTAGGTTAAGCAGATTGTCACTGAATAAATTTTTCTTTTCAAGGAGGAGTTTTCATAAGGCTCTCCTGAGCCCCCTTATTTAAGAATATGTAACAATGATTTAGTGAAGTATTCAAGCAAAAAAAAAAAACCCACTTCTACCAACTGTCATTAAGTCTTTTCCAACTCATTCCATCAATTCCAACTCTATGTGGAACAGGGAGGAAACGCCTACAGGTTTCCAAGACTGGACCTCTGTAGGGGAATAGAAAGTCTCATCTTTCTTCCACAGAGCGGGGCTGGTGGTCTTGAGCTACTGACATGCAGGGCGGAGCCCCCTTCATAACTCACTTGGCCACCATGGCTTCATGGAACATATGATTTTATCACAACGATCCTATCGATGCAGCATCATTGCCTCTGTGTGTGGTGCAGTGTCCTCTGAGGAGGCTGGAGGTTTTTTACCATGTTGACTGACTTTGCTAGTGGGTGCAGGGTTTAAAAGTTCACTGTGGAGCAGCATATGAAACACTGGTGGCCTCGTGGTTACCCTGCCCCATAGAGTTGCCATGAGTCAGAATTGACTCAAGGGCAGTGAATTCTGGTAGCAGTGGCATGGAGAATAGATGTAGGAGTGGGATGACAGGCAGTCAGTCCACAAACAGGCTCCTTCTGCACTGGGCAGGGGAAAGGGGAACTTGCTGTAGCTGAGAGTTGGCATTGGAGAGAAGAAAACAGATATAAGGAGGAGTAGTTAAAAGACCATTTGTTTCACGTGCTTGATTAGGTGGAGGGGGCGTGGGAAGAGTAAGGTGTCAAAAAAATATTTTTGTATTTATATATGTTTTAAATACCAGGCTTCAACAATGGATAGAGCTGTGGAAAGTCTTTAGTTAAAAACATTTGCTTAAGTTTTACAGTAACTCAATAATTTGACTGTTAATGTTCATAGCCACTGTAAATGGGATGTCGTGTCTCAGTTTCTTAGTATTTTAAATATCTTTGATCTCTAAGAGCAAATAATGAATTTTTTTCTTACAATGATTTTTGTCTGTTTTTATCCTAGCTCCAGAAATTCTTAGCTATGATCCTATCAGCATGGCAACAGATATGTGGTAAGAATTATTTATGAAAAATCAACCAAATTGATTTCCTGAAATTATTATGATCCTAATTTTCTTACATTTTCTTTAAAATTCAGGAGCATTGGCGTGTTGGCGTATGTCATGCTTACAGGGATATCGCCCTTCTTAGGGGATAACAAACAAGAAACGTTCTTGAACATCTCCCAGATGAATTTAAGTTATTCTGAAGAAGAATTTGATGTTGTGTCAGAGTCAGCCATTGATTTCATCAAAGCACTTTTAGTTAAAAAACCTGAGTAAGTATTAGTTAACACTGATGGATGTCACTTTTTAATTGAGTAAAAAAAAAAGGTATTTCAATACTGTAAGAACCAAATGAAAGCCTGAAATGTTGAAACTTTTGGTAAGCATTTGAAGATGAACAAAAGGCAAAATTGGAAATATTTTTAGAAAAGCTAAACTCACACCTTTAGTGATATAGTTGGGAGAACTACGTTATTGCACATGGGTCCTGTTGAGATGGAACTCATTCACAGGCATGAGAAACTGACAACAAAATAACACCTAAACTTCAACAGATGAATGTGTCAATCTAGGACCTTCAAGAGTAAGGTGACCAGATTTTAACATTGGTAAAGCGGGACACCATTGATAAAACTCATGTCCTGGCGAAATAGCAACATGGCAGCTGAAAACCGTATACCCTACCTTGTGCATTCTTTCCAAAAATCGGGACTTTTTTTAAACACCACGGGACGTGGGAAAAATTGTTAAAAATTGGGACTGTCCCATCTAGTCACCTTATTCAAGAGGGCTTCTCAGAGATACTTTACTTAAAATATGATTTTTCAGCATGAATGGGGAATAGCACACAAAAGTCAAAATGGCTTGACATTTGTGTGCCAATCTGGATTCCCAGGAAGGTTATTGTCAACTCTTTAAACATAATACTATAATACAAAAATAAATAAAATACAATAAAAAAATCCCCAAATACAATAATGATAATATCGTATGTTCCAATTTCTAATGGAACTGTTCACTATGTTGTCTTAAATGTAAATAAATGTTATGTCTTTATGCAGAGATCGAGCCACTGCTGAGGAATGTCTAAAACACCCCTGGTTAACACCGAGCTGTATTCAGGGTCCTTCTCTCAAGGTGAAAGGATCACTAGACGAGGCAACTGCTCTGGAAGAAGGTGATTCTGTACCTGAAATTCATTCCGATGCGGAGAAGCCAGAAACGGAGGAAGCCATTCTAACTGAGGAGTTGATTGTAGTTACTTCATATACTTTGGGACAATGCAGACAGTCTGAAAAAGAGCAAACAGAGCAAAAAGCCATTTCCAAACGATTTAAATTTGAAGAACCTTTGCTGCAAGAAATTCCAGGAGAATTTATCTACTGAGGAGTATTTCCCTGCAGAACTTTCAAATTCCAAAATGTTAATATTCTTGATGGACCTGAAAGTGGACATAAGCAGCTGTCACTGGTGTAAACTAAAATGACTTTGTCAACCTTATGGAGTTCGGTGAGTCAAGCCAGATTCATGAAGTTGCCAGCCAGGTGGTTTAGCAGGTGAAAGTGATCTGCTGCCGTGCTTTTGAGAAGGGAAATGTTTGCACCTTTGTATTCTCCACCCTGTTTCTCCAGATTGAGAATGTGTATGCAAAGTTGTTTGTGTTCGCTCTCTTTAAAAAACCAGTAAAAGTGCCAAAATTACACTTTTGTAAATTATTTTGCATTACTCAAATGCGTAGCTGTGTCTGCATATATGTATGTTGATACTTTTACTAAAATTGATATATTTTTCACTTTGGGTTTTTTTTTTGTTTGTTTTTTTACACAAGATTTTAATTTAAATAGAAGTCTTACAAATATTTGAGCCCTCAAATAACATCCAGTTTACTTTAATAATATCTTCTTTTGTATTTTGTGTTTTATTACTGCTTTATGTTGACTTGATTCGGCTTCTGTTGTCTTTCTGTGTAGTGTTTGTAGTGACCTATCAGGGAAGCGAACCCTTGCTAATTTTGGCCCCTTTCACCACCAGTAAGAGAGGTAGTGACCTTTTTAATTCTGACATTATTCTGGTTTTCAAAGTCATTTCTAAGTAACCCAATCATGTCAAGCCAGTGTTGATTTCCCAGCTGTGTCCCTCCTGCCCATCTAATCACACAAGCTCTATCCCTGCCACCTGATTACCCATCCCCTGTATTTTTCCCTTCTTAATCTCAGGCACTTATAGGGGTCAGTGTGACCTGATCTATGTTGTGGTTGCTGTGATCAGTGAAAAGACCCTACGTTTTTGTCACAAAATTAAAGCAGGGGCAGAGAGAGCATTGTTACCATTGAGACTTCACGTCAGCTCAGTCCTTTTCAGCCCCAAAACCACACTAGGGAAAGTTAGTGTGCCAAAATATTTATAGATCTTTACTTTGCCCATTGGGGTGGGGGTGGGGTGGGGAATTATCTTGAACTCTTTGTCAAGAAACTACCTTGTCCTAGGAGTCTGGTAAGAGTATACTGGAGTTTCATTTGGTTGGGATTATATATTTGGATTATATCTAAATCACACTGTGGGCAGTAAATTCCTATTTTTAAAAAAATGGAAATGGAAAAAATGTGTATGTTTAACTTAAAGCAACTAAATACCTGTCCCCCAAACCAAAAATGTCTGCGAGTCCTTATTTACCAGTGAACAGGCTCTGGTCACCCACGCCCTCATCTGTGAAGTGCAGCCTGTCACTCATGTGCCATGGATGCAAGCCCAGCTCCTGCACAGGCTTGGCGTGGCCAACAGCTTGGACTTCCACCCCCTTGTCTCATTGGGGTATCACACAGCACTTTCTTCCTAGTGTGAGTTCTAAAATGTGACAATCATGACAGTGACAGGGTGGTTCATTGTACACCCACTCCTCAGTTAGCAGCTGTGTTAGGTTCTAAGGATCAGGTCGTTGTGTGAAAACTGGCCTTATGTAAAAATGAGTAGGTTCACCTCAGCCCCTCATCTGGCCCGTCAATGTCTTGTTGGGCCCCTACTGAGGTCACCCAGCACTGTCATTTCCCACTTCCATATCCCCTCAGGAAAGCCTGGCTTAGACCTCAGTCCTTGGAGAGCACTACCCCATCTTCTAGAGCCCAGCTGGCCCAAGTTGTCCCTGGGGTCCCTTCTGCCTCCTGCCCTCACCATCTTTCCAGGATAGGTGACTGCTCATTTGCTAAATGACATCAAAACTCCTTTGGTGGCTTCGTTAGGGGCACAAGAGTCCCTGCCCTGGGACCAGAGGACTTGGGGCCACAGAGAGGTACATACTCCTCAATGGGTTCTCTTGCCAGTCCCTTGCCCCAGGGTCCTCTGCCCCCTGCCCCCATGAGAATTGACAATGCATAGCTTCCTTTGAGACCTAGCTGGCCAGGCCCAGCCTCTGCCCTTGACCTTAAACTGCAGCTGTCCCGCCGTCACCAGTGCCTACTCAAGGGGACATTGAGGAAGCATGAAGGGCTGCACATGTGTCTGTCAGTTGATGTGGGGTTGGGTGGGTCCTGGGCACCAGAAGCCCCATCTCAGGGCTGCTTCTGAACATGGCCTGGCCTATCCCTGACACTCACTGAAGCTGGGAACTAGAGCCAGATCCCAAGGTCGCATGGCTTCCCTATCCCCCAGGACTGCCCACCTTCAGGACAATTACTGCCCCAGCCTCAGTCCCCTGTGGGCACCCAGGACCAGCTAGGCAGTATCTCCTCTCTGCTGGCTCCACTCCAGCCCCCCACATTCTATTCCAACACCCAAGTAGGTCAGGAGATTGTGCCCCACCCCACCCTTGAGTGGTGAAATACTATGGAGGTATGAACTTGTTCTACAAACACACAGGATCACAGGTCAGGGCCTCCATCAGGCATTCGTTGCCACCAGACATGTCACTAAGGTATAAAATAGAGAGTAGATTTTTTACTATTGTCATAATGGGAGATGTCAGATAACGAGGTAGTTGATGAGTAAGGAATGGGTGTGCTATAACTAACATTGACCTGTTATTTATTCAGGTCAATGATACTCAGACAGCCTTGCAGGAAGAGCCTGCCAAGCCCCCAAAATTATTCAGACATTGTCAGATAAAACCAAATAGTCAATTAAAAAGTCATGTTTCTCACCAAATTGGTTTTATATGTACAGTTTCTTAAAATTAAAACTAATTCACTGCCATTAAATCAATTCTGACACATAGTGACCCTTTAGGCCAGAGACAAATCCTGTGAGTTTGTACTTTAGGATTGACAATCTTTCATCCTATTAAGTCTATGAATCAATATTCATTACTTCTGGAATGCTTTGGTCCCCAGTGGTCTAATATACTGTAAGCATTTTTTGTAGCCTCTTCTGTAATACCTTTTTTTTTTACTGAACTGAGATGGTTGGGTAATCTTAAGAGCTCACAGTTAGCATCTGCCCATTCTGTATTTAACACTAGAGAATGGTGTGTTTTTCTATGTTCAATTTGAGGGGGGAAAAAAAACTATTCCCAATTCATTAAAACTACTTATACATTTTACATATTACAACTCCTCACTAAACTATGATGTTAAACATAGTTAAAACTGGATTTATAAACTGCAAATAATCTCAGTAGTCCTGTTGTAATCATTTTTAAACTTGGTAATAGAATGAGCATTAACAACTTTAGACAGTGAGAAGTTGGATAGCAAGCCATTGGCAGAAAGAGTTTTCTGGTCCATTGTGAAGACTTTTCATGCTAGGATTATAGAAGGCAAGAAACATCAAGCTACTTTCAAGTATATTCTGAAGAACTCAGAAATGCACACAATTCAAAATTCAAGGTACATCAGCAGCTCAGAATGTGTGTGGCCGACTGCAAATTGCAAAGTGTCTAGCTAGAAGGAAATCTGCCTTTTTAATAAATTTAAAAAGAATCATATTACCATATATGCTCAAATGGCAGCCATCCCAAATATAAGTCAAGGCATCTAAGTTTACCACAAAATACTGGGAAAACGTATTGACTTGAGTAAAAGCCTACTGTGGGAAATGCAGCAGCTACTGGTAAATTTCAAAATAAAAATAGATACCAATAAAATTACATTAATTGAGGCATCAGTAGGTTAAATATTTTTTAATATCTATTTCAAAGAAAAACAGTAAACTCGTTCTGTAAGTGGAAAAGGAGATCAATAAAAACAATATGGTATCAATAACTACATGCTGTGTTACTTACTACATGTGCTGTATTACTACATACGCCGCCTTACCACATGTACACAACACAGCTTGTATAGTTTGAGGCATAATACAGGCTGATGATATTCCAGAATGTGATGACATGACTGCATAGAGCAGCCTGTGTTAGGGCTCATAATATACAGCTGGGTTGTGTACGCACTGTGTTAACTGCATGTGCTGCGTTACTGCATATCTATCGGAAGTGCTAACGCACTACATGCAGCAACAGTGCATACACAACGCAGTGTGTATATTATGAGCACTAACACAGGTTGCTCTATGCAAGCATAGTCAACACTGGGTCCAGATAGGGGTTAATAAGAAAATATAGCAGAATAAATACTGTAAATAAATGTACTGTATATCCAAGACCAGAGATATACCAGTACTTGTATTCAGCAATGCTTGGGTGGAGCAAGGGGAAGTGACCAAGCACAGGTAAGACTGTAAAGGCTACGTCATTGGTCACAGCCCTGGAGAAGAAGAGCAGCCGCCTCCGACAATCATCTGACAAGGATGCGGTGTGTCTGGGTAGCAGCACACAGAAGCGGGCCGGTTCTTGCTCAGTACGGCATGGACAGCACAGAGGCTGCTGGCGTGCAGGAGAAAAGAAGAGCCGAGATATCAGCAGGCATCGGGCCACCCACAGAGGCTGCAGGCGCCCGCCGATGAGCCAGAGAGACCGGACAACCTGCACCGGAGAACAGGTAAGTGGGACCCTCATTCGAGTATAAGCCAAGGGGGGTTTTTTCAGCTTTAAAAATGTGCTGAAAAACTCAGCTTATACATGAGTATATACGTAGAAGAAATTTATTTAGAATGGAATGTAAAATAATTTGGAAAAAGTTTAAAAGCTGTTCATGTGATTCTAATTTTAAAATTTGACACATCCATCAAATACAAAAATGTTGTCAATCTTCTAATTTTTGTTTTGGTCAAGATAAAATATTTTGCCTACATTTGTGTTGCACCTCTTTAAGAAGACTGACCTTAGGGTTATCATTTTGGCGGTGGGTTTTCCTTGAGACTTCTGCTCTTGTAGAAGAATTTCCTGTCCTCCTTCCTAGAACTTGTTTAGAATGAATGTTAGTTTCTAAGAAACTGTCTAAGTAATGAGAGTTAGTCCCAAAGCAAATATTTCAATAACACTATTCACAAAGAGAAAACTATCTCTGCAGGATTAAGATATGTCGCAAAAAGCAAAGTCAGTATGAAAAGAGCAAGCTTATTATAGTCTTAAATTGCCAATCATTGGGCAGCCTCAAAAACAAGAGACTTAAAGCTCACTGACTCCTAAATCCATGACCTTGGCATAGCAGTTCTCTGCTCTCACACCAGGGAAATGTTCCTTTAATTCCCAAGGAGTATTCCAGTTCCTTTGATCTGCAAGAGATGTGTTTAAGGTAAGATCTGGTTCCTTTAGTAGGGTTTCCAAATCAAATAATTCTGATATGGTCTATGAAGAATACTGTAAACCTCAGAAAGACAAAATTTT